TGTGCCAATTCTCCTCAAACACTTCCAATAATTTGAAGAGGATAGAACGCTCTCAGACTAATGGTACAAGGCCAGTATTAACCTGATCCCAAAGCCAGATAAGAATGCTACAAGAAAAGAAAACTACAGGCCATATCCTTGATGAGGATAGATGCAAAAATTCCCAACAAAATATTAGCAAACTGAATTAAAAAGCATATTAAAAGAATCATATGCTGTGATCAAGTGAGATTCATCCTTGGGATGCAAGGATGATTCAACCTACATAAATTGAAAAATGTGGCACAGCACATTAATAGAATGAAAGCTAAAAATTACATAATCCTCTCAATAGATGCGGAAAAAGCATTTAACAAACTTGGACGTACTTTCATGATAAAAACTTTCAACAAATTGGGTATAGAAGGAACATACCTCAACATAATAAAGGCCATATGTGACAAACCCACAGCTAACATCTTACTCAATGGGGAAAGGTAAAAGTTTTCCCTCTAAGATCAGGGACCAGACAAGGGTGCCCACTTTCACCACACCTATTCAACATACACTGGAAGTCCTAGCCAGGGCAACTAGGCAAGAGAAAGAAATAAAAGGCATTCAAATCACAAAGGAAGAAGTAAAATTGTCTCTGTTTGCTGGTTACATGATCTTGTATATAGAAAATCCTAAAGACTATACCAAGAAACTGTTTGCAATAAATGAATTCAGTAAAGTTTCAGGACACTAAATCAACAAACAAAAATCATTTGCATTTCTGTACACTAACAACGAACTATCTGAAAAAGAATTAAAGAAAACATTCCCATTCATGGTAGCATCAAAAACAATAAAATACTTAGGAATACATTTAATCAAGGATGTCAAAGATCTATACACTGAAAACTATAAGACATTGATGAAAGAAATTGAAGGGGACACAAATAAATGGAATGACATCCAGTGTTCATGGATAGGAAGACAATATTATTTGTTATATGTTAAAATATCCATACTACCCAAAGCCATCTACAGATTCAATGCAATCTCTATCAAAATTCCAATGACATTCTTCACAGAAATTAAAAAAACATAATCATAAAATTTGTATGGAGCCACAAAATATCTCGGGTAGCCAAAGCAATCTTGACAGAGAATACATCTGGAGGCATCTCACTTCCTGACTTCAAACTATATTACAGGGCCGGCCCGGTGGCTTAGCGGTTAAGCGCGCGTGCTCTGCTGCTGGCGGCCCGGGTTCGGATCCCGGGCGCGCACTGACGCACTGCTTCTCCAGCCATGCTGAGGCCGCGTCCCACATACAGCAACTAGAAGGATGTGCAGCTATG